ATTGATGTAGAAAACCCCAAAATTCCCAAACCTAAGTCCTAACTTTCGAATTTCGAAGGTGCACCAAACGGGGCTTGGCTCCGATCAAATTGTAGATCTTGTCGAGCTCTTCAATTCGCCGAAAACGACATCAAAAATCTTTCAACAGTTTGAGAGAAATCACAGATTAAAGATGGTGAAAGAAAAAAGAAAAAGAAGGGAGAAAAGAGAGAGAGAGAGCCGTGAGATTGAGAGAGAAAGATGAGGCCAATAATGGTCTCTTGACCATTTAAAAGAAAAAGAAAATGGTGGGCTCCACCAAAATTAAAATATTTTCCCTTTTTATTTATTTCCACCACAAATAATTATATATGTACACCACTATATTATAACCACATAAAAAAAAACATTAAATAAAATACATGGAATGCAAATGGACCCAACTAAAATCCCCGTACACGACAATTCTAGTAGCGGGTCCCGACACGGGACCTTCCGGCTCGAAAAACGGAAAAATGCCAAAATGGCAACCGTTGCATTTCAAAGAGTCCTAAACCCAATGAAATGCCCCAACCAACCCTTGGACACACCCGGCACACTCCACGGTGTTCGGCACTCAAAACGAGAAAAGATGAAAATGCCTTTGAAAAATAGAAAATTCAAAAAAATTAGAAAATGGTGAAAAACAGAAACGTCACACTTCAGGACTTTAAACCCACTAGACGCGATGTCCACCTTTTTCAATGTTCGGATGACATCCATCCTTCAAACTTGTCATGTATGCCATGCACACATAACTGAAAAACAAATGTATGTTTATGAACTAAATGTGACCACAATGCTCCTAAAGCCCAAGTGTCTCACACACAACATAATTTATATATAAATACTACATATCTACAAGTCATAATGTGAATCTCTAAGTTACAATACAAGCCCCTCTGAAATACATTAATCTAATTATGAAACAAGTTTCAAGTCCTCATTACAACATAAACTAAGCATGGAATATATAACAATTTATATGCATGCTTTCTACACAATTCTAGTAATCTTTATACACATAAAATCATTAGATTTAAGTAACCCCCAAACCTAAAATTTCTAGATTCTAGATTACCTCAAGGGAACAACACATACACTTTAAGTAAGTTGTAAAATCAACATGAAACTAAGTTCATTATATTTTAAGCAACCTATATGCGATTCTAGAAATGTAAGCATGCATACAACATATATTAAATCCTCAAAACACTAAGGGCATAAACATAGACATCCTCTACCTCAATTTGAGATGAAATCTCAAATGACTCCAAAACGGAACTCCTCCGAATGCAACGATACTTCGGGGTTATAATGGGGACAACGAGGAGAACGTTAAGTCCTTTTGCGGAAACACCCAAATCCAAACCCGAGCTAAATCCCGAACTCAAAAATGGTCAAAACGAAAATCTAGTTAAATGGAAATGAGGGCCTTGCCACGACCGATATAAAAGCCTTCATTGGCTAAGGAAGAATCAAAGGTTAAAGAGACCAAATGGAGGAGAGAAGGAAGAAGGATGAAAAAAAAGTAAGGGGCGGCAGCAGCCATGGGAGAGGGGAAAATCTGATGATTTTTCTCTTTCCTCGCCCTTTTATAGAAACCCTAAAATGTCCCCTAAACGGGCCCCGCGTGGCCCTGAAAAGTGAAAACTATCCAGACGCGCTCAAACGGAAAAAAATTGTGAACAAAAAAGAACCAACATGAAAAAAAATGAACAACGGAAGAAATGTCGTCGAAAATTGAGTCCCGAGCAGGAGATATGCCCCGAGTAAGTTTGGCGACAACCGGGCCAAAAACCCTAAAACGGTAAAGAATGATCAGAAGACCTTTCTAAGAGTAGGCGACTCGACGAAATGTGAAAATGGATCTCATACGAAGATCCAAGCACAAAATGAGGCACTTAGTATTAACTTTCGTTAATTATACAAAGGCCCCTACACAAAAGGATAACTGCACGAAAGATCTAGAAAGAAATATCTTTCAAAAGATAATTCCTTAAAAACCCCCAAGACAAAATATCTTCAAATGATATTAATGAAAAACACCCCAATAAAAGAAAATGTTTTCGAAGAAACTGTGCATCCATACCCCTACGGAAGAAAGTAAACAACTAACATGCTTTTCTAAAAAAGTAAAGATACGCATTTCCTAGAAATCAAATGAGGTGGATGCACGCAAAGTCGGAAATCAAATTCAAGCCAAACCTTGACGTTACGCGAAGGAAACGATAAACGAGAAAAGGCGAAAAAAAGAAAAAAGCCCGAAAAAGTGAGAAGCTGACACGGTCCTCACAAAACAAAGCAAAATCTCAAATGAGAAGAGTGTTAGAGACTATTTCTGAGCACTCAAGACAACCCGAAGGAACAAAACTTGATCTCAGAAAAGAAAACATTAACGGAAAAAGAAAATTTGTAAAAACAGAAAAAATGAAAGGAAGGAAAATGACAGGGTCATTACATGATGCAATACTTTGACGGAAAGCCAAAATTTATCTTTCAGCAACCCTTGGACACCTCGACGGCAAACCGAGAATCTTTTCCTCTGCAACACTGGTGGCGCGCCAATATTTTTTCTTTGCAACTATGCTTTGAGGGTGAGCCAAACTTTTTTTTTTTTTTTTTGAAACAATTTAACATAAGTGGGCGAAGGACTCACGTGAGGCTTGAATCTTACTTGTCCTAGTCGTGCGGATGCAATAACAAAACCCAGTTCCACAAGATCGGATGATTAGTTTCCATTCAGCCAACCCCTCGGTGACAAGTAGAATTTTTTTTCTTTCAGCGACACCTCGGCGGCGAGCAAAATTTTTTTCCTTTCATCAATTCCTCAACAGAAGCCAAATTTCTCTTTCAGCAACACCTCGGTGGCAAACAGGATTTTTTTATTTTTATTTTTTTCAGCGACACCTCGGCTGCGGGCATAATTTTTTCCTTTCAACAATACCTCAACAGAAAGCCAAATTTCTCTTTCAACAACAGCTCGACGACGAGCATAAAGATTAAATTACTCTTAAACAAGTAAAAGTTTAAAGACTTTTTGTAAATTTTTAATAAATTACAAACAAATTTTTAGAAAATTAATTCTTCTAAATGTTAATATACAATAAGTTAAGATTTAACAAAACAAGTTGAAAATAAAAAAATAATTATAGTTTAAATATTATATATAATGTATTTAAAAGTAAAAAAATACATGAAAATAATATTACAATTTGGGTTGGCTCGGATTGCTAACACTTCAATCCAAACCTAACCCTAATTAAATTCGGGTTAAGATTTTTCAACGCAAGTCTAACCTTAATTGTAAAAATAATTGCCCAAACTCGTGAAAAACCGAGTTGGGTTCAGATTGGGTACCCCTAATCTGTCCCATCAAAGCCCAACTTTCCTATTTGCACGTGCCCACGACGGCTTGCATGCCAATGTGCATCCTATCTATTTATGAGAAATCCAATCCAACAGTCAACATTGCATGGCCTCGACCGTTAGCACGTGCACCAGTTGACTTTCCATATTGTCTTTTGGTCTTTAACATTCCACATTTATCTTAATTTGTAGCTTACCTCCTACAAAATATCTGAAGGTGTATTGTCTTACCTTTGTTTCCAATCATTTATGCCTTCAAGTTTCTTGCTTTAAATTTCAGCATTTACATTTGATTTTAGGTTAACATTTGCTTTGATGCATTTACTACCTTGCTTCCTTTATGTTGTAGTATTAAGCTTTTAGTTTTTAGAATTTACTTTCAAGTTGGGATAAGGATGAACTATACTTAGGACCAAAGCTTTTGTAACGACCAGGTCTTATAACTGATCACCATCTACTATCATGGTTAATGATGAGAAAATTACTTTTCTTTGAACTATTATTTCTCTCTCTCTCTCTCTTAAACCGAAAACAACAAAAATATATAACTTTCGTTATGCAAGCAGAGCCCTTTTAGGCCAGAAGTGGTAAGAATCGGTCAGAGGCTCATTTCTGCTCTCCACAATCGTTGAAATCAGATAAGATTAAGTTTAGAGTCCCAACAACACGAGCACGGGGAATATTTGTTTGGCCTTCATAACTCGGCCTCAAAGCCAGCTTAGCCGCAAATCGGATCGATCACGGTGTTGACACACCCGCAGGTGAGGTAACTAACGCGTACCCACTAACTTGGGGACGCTTAAGGCCAAACACTAGGGATTGCCTCAGAGAATTACACCGCACCTTAGATTTGCCTAATTATATAACCATATTTGCGAAGACCTACATTGATTTTCTTGTTAGAGTCATGATTTGTTTGGTTGGAAGAAAAGATGATGAGATAAAAATATTTACACTGCACCTTAGATCATGATTTTCATGTTAGTCATGATGATGAGATAAAAAGAAAGGGAAGAGATAAAACGAAAGGAGGCATCCCTCCGGGCCCACCTTTTTAGTTCCTTTAAAAATGGAGAAAAGGTTAGAGGAAATAAGGAATAATGGTTGCATAAATATGAATTTATCCTTCAATTATCTATCAAATTATTTTGTTGAAATCTCTTTGTATACCTCATTCCAGAATAGATCACCTTCTTTTCTTTCTTTTCACTCAATCAAACAAAAAGGAATTGTAAGCATAAGGGATGTTAGTCCGACTCTCGGACTAATCCGACTATTTTATGTGACAACTCATTTAAGATAGGAGAGTCAACAGCCACGTCATTTTTCAGTAAAAACAGTTTCTTCATTGTGATAAAATTCTTAAATAGTTATGGATTCTTTCAACATTCATATAGAACAGAGATCATTCTCTTGCTTCTATTTAAATTATTCATACACAGAAACTATGGAAAATGATGACAAAGCTTTTTGCAAAACTCATCTATTACCACAAGTTTGGTACTAGGCATAAATGAATCATATTTTTCTCTAAATATCTTTTACAAGTCTTCCATTGATGTTTTAAGAACTGATTCAATATCCAGAAAGAGTAAAAATTAACTCCACATCCATAAATTAAAACATACTTCAAAAGCTTTACTCTATAATAATAGTAGAATACCAAGAATCAACATCATGCACCATGCATGTAACTTGCACACTGTCATGCGTTGTGTATGAGTGGGCATATCCATGCATTTTGAGGCAACATCTATTATGTGTAAACAACTTGCATAGAGTAGAAAACCCGACATAAAATCTAAAACTTCAGCACTTCATTGCCTTCCTGAGAATGAAGTCTCTAACAAATACTGGCAGATGGTACATTATCGCCATTATGGTGGAGTACTGGCCTAAAGAGAACCAAGCAGGTGGATTCTTCTTCAGCACCACTGCTACTGTCTTCTTTGCGAACTCTTCTGTAGGGGTAGCTTTAGAGCCTTGTGAGAAGTAGGCCCTCTCTCGGATCGCTGCTTCAAATTGCTTGTATAACTTCCATTCAGGCATCCGACTATAGCTGGCTATAGCAGAATTACCTATGTTTGACTTAACCGCTCCAGGTACAACAGTAATAACATCTATCCCAAAAGGTCTAAGTTCCAACCTGCATACAAATATAGATGGTACAAAGATCAGAAAATCAGAAACCATTCAACATTAAGTTAATTATAAATTGAATATTTTAGAGGAGAAATGATTCAATGATCGTTCACAACAAATAAAGGGGATATTGCAGTTAATGCTTCACTTAGTTGAGTTAAACATGCAAGGAAATTTTTTATTTTACCAATAGGCCAGTGACCTAGCGGTACCAGGCCTGTACTTCCCATAGAGGTCAGGGGTTTGAGCCTCGGTGCAGGTGCATGTGTATGAGTACCAACTAAGAAAAAAATATAATTTATTTTTAATTTTTTTCCCCTTCAAGTGATGCAGATAAGAAGCAGACTTAAATTTATAGAAATGAGGCTAACTACATTGTTCAAACCCTAAGGTATTAGTGTATCAAGAGTAGCTCTGGATCCAATGGAGACTTGGGTTGGGGGAGGGAGAGAGAGAGGGGGATGGGTTTTCTTAAAGATAAAGAAATAGAATACTAACAATTAAAATTAATGCGGGTAACAATATTCCACAAACCTCAAGGAATCAGTGAGGGAATGCAGAGCAGCTTTAGACGCAGTGTAAGCACCAGACCATGGTCCAGGGGCCAAAACGGTTACACTTCCAGTGTTTACAATCTTCCCCCTCTTCTGAGATACCATGTAAGGAACCACAGCTTGAATCAACCTCATGGAACCTATAATTGCACATATAATAAGATTAAAAACACAAGGAGGAAAATAACTATGCTATGTCCATAAAAGCAAACTGGTCATGAAATCAGTTAAGGATAAAACCCTCTTAAAGTAGAAAAGGGGTAAGGGAAAGCTAAGAAAGACAATTGAGATGCATGTGTAACAGACTACCTCGAGTGAGAATGATTGATATTAGAGAGGGTGTAACCTAAGTATTTATGTATCAACATGCCTCCTCACGGGTAGCTAGATATATATCATAACATCAATCCAACGCATGCATCAATTATAATTATTATGGTGGCAGTAAGATTTGAATTCGGGAAAGTGTTAAACACTACCTACTCTAAAATTTTAAGCTATTAAAGCGGTGTAACTTAAGTATTTATATACTCTAACAAGAACAAAGGCATCGTGCACATAATTAATATGTTGCTTAAAGCAAGAAGAATATGATAAAAGCATGAATAATGATCTTGTGGTGTTACTAGTTTTCCATTACAGACGTGGCAGGGCTTGTTTATGAGTAGACTCGTGCCGAAAATATATAAGACAATTACCAACTGCGGTATAAAATCCTCCGTTTCCAGATTACCTTACTTGCCCTATCTGCTTTTGAAATACATGGAAATAAGACTACCAAATGGTTTTTTCTTAGATAATAGGGGGCCCTACACCATTATCAAGAGAGTTTAACCACCACGAAGATGTACTTGATAGAACTTCCTGCTTCACTTCTTAAGTCAAAACACTCCAACTTTCTTAAAGGATACTCTTTATGTCAAATATCATTTTTGTGCTTTGGAGGCCAGACGAGGGGGTAACGCTTTTGGGGCCTGAAGAGGAGAGGCCGAGGAAGGGCGACTCAGGGATTCCATATCTTGCCCATTCAATCTCCATTTTTAGATTATAGTGCATGGAAGAGGGCATGTTTGACAGTTGTAACAAAAAGCTGCAAGAGATTCATTAACATTTATCAGTACAGTTTGGTTAAGAGTGAAAAACTAGGAAGTGGTATTGCAATTCCGATAAAACTTGGAAAAATCAGAAGGAACATCAATTTTGATGCAGTGGAAAATATGAATTAAGTGTAAGTGACTAAAACCACTATTTGGGATATAGCAGCAAAAACCTGATGCTATCGATCCAATCTGTCAGAAGCCATGAGACATGCTTCTTCTCAGAGTATGAATTAGATCTTATATGAATTTCATAAAATAAGATTGAAGGCTGTTGATCTTTGCCTTTTAGAGGTCAAATTCTGGAAGAATCTTGAAGTGGACACAGATTCCTCAAAACACCATAACATGGAAGTACTAAATTTGAACCTTTTTATGGGGAAAAAAAATCCATTATGGAAAGGAGTGGCTTAATGCTGTTGGAAGAAGCCTTTATCACAATAAATGTGATGTTGGCAAAATATCATTATGATAGTTTACGAGACTGGTTGAAGTGTTAATGGTGTCGGCCTCTATCCTGAAAATGGTGTTTGAAAATTGAAACCCTTTATTTTTATTTGGTAGAATTGTAGGATACCTTATCCAAAAAGGTACAAATTTTCGGGCTGCAAACACAGTAGAGGTGTGGGTTTTCAACTCATTTCCCATATTTACTTTCACCTAATGCCAAGGCAACCTAAATCCTATGTATCTCCAAAATTGTTCGGGTAAGGCAATATTTTGTATAATTTTTAGTTAATTGTTAGGTTGAAAAAGGATTCCACCAGCCTCCATTAATCCAAGAGGCCCAATCATGGGGCCACCATAGGCCTTCACAAACTATGACTGCTCAAAGACAATATCTTGGCTCCAACAGAGAGTGATCAAAGACAATCTCTTGGCTCCAACAGAGAGTGATCAAAGACAATCTCTTGGCTCCAACTCAGAATGAAGGGGATATTCATCTAATCTAAAAGGCAACTAGAGACCCCAAAAACCTTGGCTCATGAGCTTTTAAGGTTCTAATATTTTAGACACGTAATTTCTGCCAAACCCCCAATTAGTGATGCATTCCGGCCTATTTAATAGTAAATTTGATCTTGATACAGGAAAATATTCACTCATCCAGGAAAAAGATTGAATTAGCCATCAACAGCAGTATATATCATAAATTGATGCTCAAATTTAGTTAGAACTATAACCTACATCCAGATCTGACCTTTACAACTTAGGGATACACAAACAACTTGATGTACCATGTAAAACTACTCTGAAAGCAAGTCCATCGTTTAGCCTTTAAGGGTCAGATTGAATGCTATAATAGTCAAGAGTGTCAGACTAGATAGCCATATCTCCTTAATCTGGATGTATGTTTCAAGCATTATATTCCATGGCATGTTGGAGCTGTTATAACTTCAAAACAAAATTTTGGTGAACTGCTGCTTTATGAAAGTGGTGAAAATACTCTTTATTCATCACTTAGACTCTAAAGCTGCAGAAAGAGTTGTATAAAGACAAACAGCTCCAGTTACTGAAGAATATGATAGCTGATGCACAAACATTATGAAGCAGAGTGGATTCGGTAGTCTGGCATTGGCATTTAGTGTTACAAGCAGGGAATTGGTAAACATAACTTTTCAATAAATTCCAAATTGGAAGACTATTGCTATCGAGAGGGCATCTCATGACAAGAGTTATGAACTCTCTTTATTGACCGTGAGATTGAGAGATTTATTAGAAGATTTGTTCGACTTTTCACAGATCTCAAAAACTCTCAATCCAGTGGTTAATAAATAGAGAGCTCAAGCTGTTGTCATGAGAGGCTCTCTTGAGAGCATTACTCAATTTGGAATAGCAGTTTCACTCTCAGTAAAAAAAACGATGCATGCCAAAACACACAAGCAGCTGACATGTGTTGTTTTGTAACGGAAGACATTAAAAAAGAAAAGAAAACATTTTGTTCTAACAGATTAGTAGTGTCCTGCAAGAAATATAGACAGCTCATGTGCCCTGTTTTCTGGTGACATTCCACAAAAAAGTGGGAAATAAAGCAAGGTCATTTTAGGAATAGGTAGTGTTCTTTCATTATTCAGGCAATTGGGTACCTAAGTATGATCCATCTGAGTCTTTTTTTTTTTTTTTTTGGAAGTTAAAACAAACACATACATACCCATTATCCACAACATGTCTGTAGTGGGACTTGAACTCTAAACCTCCCCCTTTGGGGAGGAGAGATCATACCATTGGGCTAGAGGCCCTTTGGTATGATCCATTTGAGTTGGATAGATGGAAACTAAAAAGCTAAAAAACCAAAGGTGGTTTTGTCATGTGGCTTTGAGTCATTGTAAGCTGCCTTATCTCCTACAGAGGCCATTGAATACAATTTGTCTGGTTAGAAGACTCGGAACTTATGTAAGTCACTTCTATGGGACTAGTGACACTGAGTATTCCACTCTCTGTCTAAGGTTGCAAATGTGAATTTCATATTAAATCTAAACACTCTTTATTCTCTTAATCAGCGCAGGTATGATTTGATCTAAGTAGTAGTGCAAGTATCTAAAACTGAGCATTAGACTCTGTCTAACTTTGCAAATGAGAATTTCATGTTAAATCTAAAGACTCCTAATTCTCTTAAACATAACATCTATGATTCGATCTCAATAGTAATAAAAGTACGTAAAACCGAGCATTCGACTCTCTGTCTAAGGTTGCAAATGTGATTTTCATGTTAAATCTAAACACTCTTAATTCTTCCAATTAGAACAGCTAATTTGATCTCGATAGTAACAAAAGTATGTAAGATATACATCAAAATTGAAAAATTAAAAATAATCACCATCTGGGTACTAATCATTCTTCACCCATTTGCATCATACAAACACAAGAAATTCAATCAAGCTACTAAAAAGCCAAAACTAAATCAAAACAATTTAGAGATCAATAAACATCAGCACAAAAAGAGCACTCATATAATCAAATACGGAGTACTAAACATAGAATCCGATATAAATTGTACCAAAAACATTTCAATTGAAGGTCTGTTCAAGTGCAGATAGAGGGATTTCAGCAAGGGGACCAATGCATTGGACCTCAGCATTATTGACAACGACATCAAGGTCGAATTTTTCCAGCACAGCCAATAGAACATTGTGTACACTTTGATCAGACAACACGTCCAGTTCTTGAAGAAACTCATTGCCACCGCAAGGAATTTCTCGGCGGCAAATGGTCGGGAAAGCACATGGACGATGCTGCCAGTGGAACAGCTCGTGATCAGAACCACCTGTTTGTCATAAGGCTCCATAGGGCTTGACAGCTTACGGTTTTGGGAGTGTTTTGAAGTTATACACACACACATGCACACTACTAGTATTGCCGTATGGGGTAATGATATTATCTGTGTCATAAAGTGGTTTGTTAGGAAGATAGAGATTTGGCTTGTGTACTTACGCCTATACAAGTACACGTGGGGCTGGAATGGAAACTAAAATCCTCTCCAACAGGAGACAGGTCCAATACACCAACCAACATTGGTGATTAGCACCAGCAATTAATGGTGATGGGCCTCACTTGATGGTACAGATCATCACTATTAGTGGTGTATTGTACAATGTAAAACTACTCTGAAAGCAAGTCTATTCGTTAGTAGAGTCAGATTGAATGCTATAATAGTAAGATTAGATAGCCATATCACCTTAATCTGGATTTATATTTTAAGCATTATATTCCATATAGTGTTTTAGTCCAAGGCCTTTTACCATTTATAATTGCTACAACTGGTGTTATAACTTTAAAAATTAAATACATATTACTGGTGCATTATAATTGAATGCTGGGCATGTGTTGTTTTGTAATGGAAGACATCAAAAAAAAAAAACATTTTTGTTCTGACAAATGAGCAGTGTCCTGCAAGAAATATAGGCAGCTTTTAGTAATAGGAAGTGCTCTTTCATATATTCACTATTCAGGCGATTGGGCACCTAAGCATGATCCATCTGAGTTGGATAAGTGGAAAGCTAAAAAGCCAAAGGTGGTTGTGTCATGTGGCTCTAAGTCATTGTAAGCTGCCTTATTTCCTACAGATGCCATTGAATACAATTTGTCTGGTTAGAAGACTCAGAACTTATGTAAGTCACCTCTGTGGGACTATTCACACTGAGAATTCCACTCTCTGTCTAAGGTTGCAAATATGAATTTCATGTTAAATCTAAACACTCTTTATTCTGTAAATCAGAGCAGCTATGATTTGATCTCAGTAGTAATAACAGTATATAAAACTGAGCATTAGACTCTGTCTAAGGTTCCAAATGTGAATTTCATGTTAAATCAAAACATTCTTAATTCTCTTAATCAGAACATCTATGATTCGATCTCAATAGTAATAAAAGTATGTAAAACCGAGCATTCAACTCTCTGTCTAAGGATGCAAATGTGAATTTCGATGTTAAGTCTAAACACAGTAACACTCTTTAACTTTCCCAATCAGAACAGCTACAATTTTGATCTCAATAGTAATAAAAGTATGTGAAACATATATATATATTACAAAATTAAAAATAATCACCATCTGGGTACCGATCATTCTTCATCAATTTGCATCATACAAACACAAGAAATTCAATCAAGCTAGTAAAAACCAAGCCAAAACTAAATCAAAACAAGTTATAGATCAACAGACATCAGCACAAAAAAGGGTAATCACAGAATCACACACAGTAAACATGGAAAACGATATAAATTGTACCGAAAACATTTGTGTTGAAGGTCTGTTCAAGTGCAGATAGAGGGATTTCAGCAAGAGGGCCAATGCACTGTACCCCAGCATTGTTGACGACGACATCGATGCTGCCGAATTTATCGAGCACAGTCGACAGAACGTTGTGTACACTTTGATCAGACAACACGTCGAGTTCTTGAAGAAAGAAGCTAGGGTCGTCTTCCAGGTCGGCCATGGACGATCGCGACCGACTCGTCGCCACCACCAGGCATTTCTCGGCGGCGAACGCGCGGGCCAGCGCGTGGCCGATGCCGCCTGATGAACAGCCCGTGATCAGCACCACCTGTTTGTTGAATGGTTCCATAGGGCTTCTTGACGGGGCTTAGGATATAAAGTGTTTTGATGTTATATATATGCGCACACATTCACACGCATGCACACTCCTAATGCTGCGTTTTTTTTGGGGGAATGATTGTACCTGTGTAATAAAGCGGTTTGTTGGGAAGATAGAGAATTAACGTGTACAAGTGCATGCGGGGCTGGAAAGGAAACTAAGGGTCGTTTGGGAAGTGTCGTGTGGTGCAGTGGAATGCTCTAATTTATAATAGGACAAGTGTTGTGGTAAGAATTTTGGAACAAAAACGTGTTATAATATGAGAACAAAATATGTTTGGCAAGGATTTGTATTTTGTAGTGTTTTATTTATAATTTTATTAAATATAAAGTTATAAATTAATTATTGTATAATTTTAGTATACAATTGTATAATGCTTTAAACAAATTAATTGTTATCAAATAAATTCAAAATTACTACTATATTTATAAAATTTGAAAGATAATGTATCAAAAAAATATATATATACAGTATATGCATATTTTTTATTTTTTATGCTGAATTTTTATTTTGAACTTGCATTCTTAAAAATTCATATTTTGATTAATATTTTCATATTTTTTATACTGAATTTTTATTTTGAACTTACATTCTTAAAAATTCATATTTTGATTAATATTTTCATATTTTTTATTTTTTATGTTGATTTTTTATTTTCAACTTACATTCTTAAAAATTCATATTTTAATTAATATTTTCATATTTTTTATTTTTTATACTGAATTTTTTATGCTCGATCGAAGAAAGAGCAATTTTGAAAAATTCATATTAACACAAACAAAAACAAATCAAACGTTTGTTCTAATAAATCTTCGAACTCATCAAAATCTGCACTGCAAGCTCATTTCAGACTCTGCCCGCTTGAGACCAATTTGTTAAAAGATGGAGGGGTGGAGAGCAGTGTCGATGTGCCAGTGCCAGAAAGAACAAATTTACATAGCAGGGCTTGATCTCTTTTGGTATTTGGTCTTAGAAAAGATGGCAAGGTGGCCAGAGATATGGGTATTGGAGACGAAAAAGATTGAGGGACTAAATGTTGTGACAATTGCTCAATTTTTAGCCTCATATTGTATGGATCAAAGGTAAACAAAACTGAGAAGGCAAAGATGAGATGCAAAATGTCTAACTAAAGAGAACTGATATAGAAGGAGGAATAGAAATAGTTAAATAAGATCAGAGAGTTCAATTAGCTGTAAAAAGCTAAGTCTAAGCTTATCTATGAATCAATGGGGTTCTTGAGAGAGAGAGTGTGTAAATAATTTCCAGCAAACAATAGTCCCTAAAAATGGATCCTTCTCTTCCATCTTCAAATCTGAAAATTGTAAATCACATTGACAATTAATGAAACACAGACTTGGAAAAAAAAAATGCAGACATATATAATTATATATAATATATGCAACGGGAATAAAACGAGGCTCCTCTCGCCTATACTGAGAAAGATCCGGTACACCAACCCAGTTGGATAAGGTTGTCTTGGGCACTTATTCCTAGGGGTGATCAATCCGAACCAATTCGATCCGTATGGTTCGATTCGATTTTTTGATTTAATGGTTCGGTGATGGTTTGAAAAATTAGTAATCCGTAATGAGCGGTTCGGTTAACGGATTGAACCTTGAAAAAACCGATCCAATCCGTTAACCGAACCGATCCGTCAATTATATTATATATATATAATATAATTATATATGTATACTGCAATATATTATTTCTATTTATTTATTTTTTATTCATTATTTGTTTTTAAAATTCAACTATCTAACCCTAGGTTTCCTTAAACTGTGCCGCCTCCTAGTCCATCTCTTGACTCTCTCTTCCTCCATTCCTCATCTCTAGAAGTAACCATAACTTCTGAAATCTTGTAAATCTCCATCACTCATCGTAAGGTACACAATCTCTCTATACTTTCTCTTTCCATCACTCATCCCTTCCTAGGCCCCAATCTCTCTCTACTTTCTCTCTCTCTTCAAAATTTCAGCTTATAAAAAATGATATGGGTACACAATAAAATAAAAACAGAGAAAGAATCGCAAGCCCTAGAACTAGAAATTACCAGAAGCAGAGGAAAGGGTTTTGCAGATAAAAAAATGAAGACACTCTAATACATATTTTATGTATTTTTCTTGTTTCTTTGGAATCTTCTAAGCTGATAAAGGTTTGGATTTTTTGTTTATTTATTTTTTCAATATTGTAATTTGTTGTAATCTGATCTGAGTTCTATGATTCAAATAAATGAGCTATCATTGTGCATTTTTTTTTATTTTTATTTTTATATGTGTATCTATTGTAATTTGCAGTGGATGGGAGGGGCAAAATGGAAAGAATGTTTGGGTTTTGTTTCTGAACTGAGATGTGATGCGATGACTATTCATTTGGCTTTTGTAGTTGAATGCTTAGATCTGATTTACTTCTATTACATGTTCGAATTGGTGTGTATGACCAATTCTTATGTTTTTTTGTGTTTTGTTCTTTGCTGTTCTTGTTTGTTTGTTGATGTATTGTCTGACTGTTTTGGTAAGCGCAATCCGTGGAACCGAACCGAACCAATCCGTTATTCCACGGATCGGTTTGGTTTGGATTGAGAGTTATCACGGATTGGTTCAGTTTTAAATTTAGCCAATCCGCAAGGACCGGATTGGTTTGAATTTTACCTCAAACTGAACCGATCCGAACCGTGATCAGCCCTACTTATTCCGGCTGTACTAAGCAGAATAGGGGCCAAATAATGAGCAACAAAATAAAAGAGATACATAAATGGAAATGAATCAAATGATGAAGAAGAAAATCAATCATTACAATTAATTTATACTATAATTTAACAAAATAAAAGAGATACATAAATGGAAATGATGAAGAAGAAAATCAATCATTACAATTAATTTAGGGAGACAATATTCACACTTCATTTTCCTTCAATTGCATTATATTTATTTATTTATTTAATTTTTTTAATAAATGACTATCTCTTAATTTATAATGTCATAACTACCTTTTATACAACTTTAACTTATTCTTTTTTTACCTTGTATTTGGGACCTGAGTATTGGTCTTACTTTATTTACTATTTTTTTTCTTTCTATTTGGGAAAAAAATTTCTACGCTAGATAAAAATAACCTATTTTTTTGGGGGTCTTACAAAAGAGATAATTTATTCCATATAGATAAAAAAAAAAATTAATCATCTTCTTTTCATACTTTTTTTTTTTTTTTTTTCTTTTGGAGACCTTGACAAAAAAGATAATTTCTTCAACAATTTTTTTTTTCGGGGCTTTTTTCATGTCCAAAGAGATAATTTTTTTAATGATTACTTTTTATTTTTTTGGTCAAGTCAAAAAAGTCAATTTATTTAACATAAATTTTTATTTCTTAGTCCCGTAAAAAAAATTTATTCAATTTTTAAGTTCATTTTTTGTCTTGTCAAAAAATATTTAAAATAATAAAGATTAGAGATAAGGAAGAGATATCTAAAAGAACAGTTTTTTCATTTAAATAGTAATAATTATTTACTTGTAGAGTTAGGGTTAGAATTGTTATTTCATTTAAGATTAAAGTGCAAATGTTGAAAAATGAAATCCAGATATTGTCTCCCTTAATATATACTATATCTTTTTGTGATTGCAAGGTATTATCTCTCTCAAAAAAAAAATTCTTTCTCCATAATATCTCTTTGTTCAATTTTTTTTTTTTTTCTCTCTCTATAATATCTCTTTGTGGCAATTTTTTTTTCTCTCTATAATATCTCTTCGTGTCCGTCTCATATATATATATATATATTATCTAAATTTTTTGTTCTCTCTCAAAAAACATTTTCTCTCTCTAAAATATCTCTTTGTTCTAAATTTTTCTCTCTATAATATCTCTTTGTGGCCATCTCTGTTCCCATATATATATCTCTCTAATTTTTTTTTTTTTTTTACATTTTTTGTTCTAATTTTTTTTTTTTTCTCTCTATAATATCTCTTTGCGGCTATCTCTCTATCTCATTTTTTTCTCTCTAAAATATTTATCTCAATTTTTTCTTTAAAATATCTTGTGGCCACCCATATATATATATTTTTTTATCTCTCTCTCTTTAATTTTTTTCTCTCTCTCTCTCAAAATTATGTGCTGCCAATATTATCCCTTTAATTTTGTTTTTTGTATCTAGAAATCCACGTTGCTGCCAATATTATCTCTCTCTAATTTTATTTTTCTCTCTAAAATTTCTCTCTGCTAATCTCTCTCTGTCTCTAATCACAACCACTCATAATACCACTACATCTAACATAAATTACAAGTAAAAGAACATAATCAATCAAAATGAGCAAAAAAAAAGAAGTTATAACATCAGTAATTATCAAGGTATACTGCAAGTAACCTTTCAAAAAAAAAAAAAACAAAGGTATACTGCAAGTATACTGCAGCTCATCATTCAATCAAAATGAACATGGCCAAAAAAAGTTATAATATCACCAACTGTTAAAGTATACAGCTTTAGTCTCAACCACAATAAACATGAAAAACAAGTTGTAACACCACCAACTCTAATCTAAAGCAAAAAAGTAAATATTCAAGAAGCCCTCAATTTAATTTTTTTACATAAATATTACCTCTTAGATTTTTCAAATCAAGATCTTTTCTCTAACCACACTCCTACTCTTCATACCAAAAGAAGCATTACCAAATATTAGTATATCCAACGAGGGTATAATTATGAGATAACCAAATAAAACCCATGAACTAAAAAACGGAAAGCATTCCCAAGGGATCGATAACACAAAACATTTCTCCATGTATGTGAAAATAAATTGTTAACCTTAGAGGGATAGGCACAAAGATTGATTTTTTTACCTTGTCAAAGCAACAGAGATCGATCGTTAGTCCAAGACTAGAGAGTGTGTTTCAGTGAGAGGAAAAGAGTGAAGATCATCTCGTTCATGTTTTCAGAGAGAGCATGAACATAGTCATTTTTTTACATAAATATTACCTCTTAGATTTTTCAAATCAAGATATTTTCTCTAACCACTCTCATATTCCTCATACAAAAAGAAGCATTACCAAATATTAATATATCTAACGAGGGTATAATTATGAGATAACCAAATAAAGCCCATGAACTGAAAAACGAAAAGCATTCCCAAGGGATCAATAACATAAAACATTTCTCCATGTATGTGAAA